GCCAAGAGCTTGGGAACCACTAATACAGCTTTTAGTCCATTTTGAGCAGATTTATTCAATGTTGGTTGCATGGTCTATAATGTTCTTATTGCACGGTTAGTAATCGTGCCCTGAACTGGATGGCCCAGGCAAGTCCGATCTCATCAGATATCAGAAGCTAAGCAGGGTAGGCCCTGGTTAGTACTTGGACGGGAGACCACCAAGGAAAGTCAAGGGTTGCTGTGCAGAGCCAGGCAATGGCAAACCACCTCTGTCCCTCTCTTGCCTTGAAAACCCTACTAGGCTATCATAAGCACTTTCCCCCACCAGAATCTGCTTTGAGTCACTGTGAGAAAAGACTGTAAATGAAGCAGATGATAGCGAAGCGGATTGGAACCAGTTGCTTGTCAGTTTTTCCTAGAGAACTCTGGGAACTGTAGTTCTGAGGTAGTGTTGAAGATGTCTTTGGTAACCCATCTCTAGATGTGTTGTAGAACTGCAGTTCCCAAGGTGTTTTGGTTGGGTGCCATGTTACTTAATCAGGTTTAAACCAATTGTAAGTAAATGTAGCTTGGGTGCCTTCACTGGGAGGGGGTTGTCTTGCATTTGGAAAAGCAGGCTGATGGACTGTTCTTCCTTAGGCCCTGGTGAGTTACCTTGAACAGCTGGAGGACGAAGAAGTGCAGACACGAATTGCTGCCTGTGCAGCTTTGGGCTGCCTTAAGGTAAAGCTTTGCATTAAACGCAGCTCAAAAGCTAGCATCTCCCACCTTTGTCAACCTGGAGTTTGGGAGTTTTCTGGAAATATCTGGCTCTCTCTATTTGAGCAGGACACAAAATAATTAACTGACAAACAAGACAGGGAGGCTCCAGAATCAAAGCAGGACTTCCTCTCTTTTCCCACTTGTCTGGTAGCAGCTCTCCTTTCCTGCCCTAGGCACAGAGCAGGAGGACAAACGTCCGTTGGCTCTTGCTCTTCAGCTTGTGCCCAAGGGCTCCCACCTCTGGGACCCACCCAGGCCTTAAATGCCTGTGAGAAGCAGAGGAGAAATAGACTCGGCGTGATGGCCATTCAGCTGCCGCTACCTTGTAGGATCTTCCTCCCCAGCCAGAGGGGAGAAAAGCAGGTCTGCAACTGCTGTCCTTGCTTTAAGACGCTATACTTTTTAATGTAGTCCTGTGTTGTGGTTTGGCCTGAACCTGGACAGCCCAGGCTAGCCTGATCTCTTCAGATCTCGGAAGATAAGCTAAGCAGGGTCAGCCCTGGTGAGTATATTTGAATGGGAGACCTCAAAAGAGGCTCTCACTTTAGAGTTTTAGCGAAACGAGGGATTCTATACCCGGGATCCTCGTGCGATGATTCTTCCTTCAATGCATTCTCCTTGATGATTCATCTCTTGATGCTGACGTTTTCATAACTTTACAGAACTGTACTTACCTTGTTCTGAAACGGAGTACGTAGACCTCAGTGGAACTACATGCTTCCTGTAGTTTACAGTTGTATATCATTCACTATTAAGGCATATAAAAAAAATCAATCTCATGCAAGTTTAATTATTAGATTTATTGAGCGTCTTATTACAGTGGCTCTTCCTGTTGTTACTGGCTCACATTAACACTGTGATCCTTCTAACACTAGTTATGGAAAACTCTACAGGCTTGGCATATGTTGGCTGTGACTTGGTGGTACTCTCCTCCACCGCCACCATGTTGTGGGCTGCGCTCCTTGGAGAGAAAGAGCTAGAACCTGACGGCATCACCTTTCTTCTGTCTCCTCTCCCTCAATAGGCCAAGGAGAGCATTGAGCAGCTGGTGTACGTGTGCCAAACGGATAAGGAGACTGTGCGGGAGGCAGCCAAACAGAGCCTGATGCTGTGTGGTGAGTGTCCCGCTGCCCAGACAAGAGTCCCTCCCTCCGCAGTACATTGGCAGGTGGCTTCCTTTGCAGCCCTGGCAGGTGGGGTGGAGGGTGGGGATGGGTCCGTGCAGCCCTAAGCAATGCCCACTCTGTACTGGGAAGCTAGATGGGGCCTTTGCTAGCCTAGAAGGGGAGAGTATAAAAAAATATGTAGGCTCTTGAGTTACCCCTGCCCCTCTGAACCACAAGAACCCGTCTTATACTGAATCAGACCCTTGGTCCATCAAGGTCAGTATTGTCTACTCAGACCGGCAGTGGCTCCCCTGGGTCTCAGGTGGAAGTCTTTCACATCACCTTTCAACTGGAGATGCTGGGGATTGAACTTGGGACCTTCTGCATACGAAGCAGATGCCATACCGCAGAGCCACAGCTCCCACTCCCCATCCTCTGCTCAGTTTCATGGCTGAGGATAGAATTCCCTCTGTGCCCTTTGCCCTGTTTTACTGTTCACTTCACAAGAGCTGACACAGAGACCTCTGGGTGGAGGACGCTAAGCCGTTGTTGTTTATCCTTTGTTAGATGGCACTGAGAGAACCATCTGATTGGCTAAGTAGACTTCCGGGTCATGACGAGCCGGCTGCACAGGTTGGGATGCCGTTGGCCAGTCTGTTTCCCCCTCCTCACCCCGCCTGCCTGTTGTGCCAGTGTCTCTGCCCCGGACCCCCCTCCACCACCAGCAGCCTTATCACATTTGGGTCTCGTGTCTGTTCTGTGGCACACTTCCCCCCCACCCCACCCACCCACCTACCCGTCCCCAAGTTTGTAGGCATTCCTTAGAGCATCCGTGTTCCGGGTCCGCATGTGTGTGTGCGTGTCTGTCTGTATCACCGCAGAAGGAATGGCTTTCCTGTTGAGGATTTGTATGTAATGTGATCCTGCCAGGCTTTTTTATTTATTATTTAATAACTGACACGTTTTATACCTCACTTTTCCTCCCAGCTCAAGGCAGGTTTACAGTTGTTTTTTTGCTGTCAAATTGCTACCAATTTATGAAGAAGGGAGCAGTGACTCACGAAAGCTCATACCCTGCCACATATTTTGTTAGTCTTTAAGATGCTACTGGACTCTTGCTCTTTTCTACTGCTACACTACCGCCAGACTAACACAGCCACCCATCTTGATCTACCAATTTATGGCGACGTTGTAGGGTTTTCAAGGCCAGAGTGGAACAGAGGTGGTCGGCCATCACCTGCCTCTGGGCAGCAACCCTGGATTTGCTTGGTTGTCTCCCATCCAAGTACTAACCAGGGCTTGACTGTCCTTGGCTTCCAAGATCTGACAAGGTCAGGCTAGCCTTGGCTAGTCAGGGAAGCTTTACAATATATAATTTAAAAACATCCAAATAATAATAAAACCCCAGTTCAGCTGCCCAACCTGATAAAACTGCCTGCAGTTTACACTCTCATTGAAAGCTCTGGGGGACTGAAACACAGCCTCACAGTGCCCCTGATGGTTTCTAAGGACTGGGACCCTCCCCGCACCTCTTTGGGGAGCTCCTTCCATAAAGTGGAAGTAACCAGAGAGCTCATGCCATAAAGTGGAAGCAGCAACCACAAAGAAAGCACATTCCCTTGTTCACGCTAGGCAGGTGGCTTACCTTTAGCGTGGGAACACAGAGGGTGGCAAGATGAACACCACAGCCGGCGCGAAGGGGACATACGGGGCGAGACGGGCCTTTCAGCACTTGGATTCACATTGATCCATCCCGTGCTTTCCCGCTTCCTGACCACTGCATGGGCTCAGTTGATCTGCGGTCTGAATGACTGTCTGTCCTGCTAACTGAAAGTGCCACTCCTATCTGTACGAGCCTTGACATGTTTGGCAGCTCCTGGGGTCTGCCAGGCATGAACCTTGCTGGGTAGCCTAACTCTGTCAAATCCCCACTGATTGTGAAGATTTAAAAATGGGGAGAGGATAGCCACTGAGCTGCTTGGAGGAAGGGATTTAAAATGTAGCCTGGAGGGCCCAGGCAAGTCCGATCTCGTCAGGTCTTGGAAGCTAAGCAGGGTTGGCCCTGGTTAGTACTTAGATGGGAGACCTCCAAGGAACTCCAGAGTTGCTGTGCAGAGACAGGCAACGGCCAAACCACCCGTATTCATCTCTTGCCTTGGAAATCCTACGGGATCACCATAAATCGAATGTGACTCGATGGCTCTTTCCACCACCAGACAGTTTCCAGGCTTCCTTCACGGGCAGCTAACATTTGACAGCAAAAAAAAAGAGAAGTCCCAATAACAAGCCATACCTCAGGACTGTGTTGCTGGCCAAGTCACCTCTTACTTGACTACCATCCGGAATTGTGACGAACACCCTCATGTTCAGTGGCAGCCTGCCCTTTTGCATTGCATGATGGGAAGAGACACAGAGTGGTGTAGTGGTCAGAGTGCTGGACTAGGATTTGGGAGACCCAGGTTCAAATCCCCACTCTGCCAGGGAGGCGTGCTGGGTAACCTTGAGCCAGTCACACATTCTCCGCCTAGCTTTCCTCACAGGGTTGTCGTGAGAATAAAGTGCAGGAGAGAACAATGTAAGCCACTTAGGGTTCCCGTTCGGGAGAGAGGTCGGGTATAAAGGGTCAAAATAGACTGCCACGTAAGCATCGACAAGACTCAGTTGCCCTCGTTTCGCAGCCCAGCAAGGGTTGCAATCACACGTGTGCAAACACTCCTCCTCACTGAGGAGCGGGGGGGGGGCCCCTCTGTGCCCTCCCCTCCCAGGGAAGCCACGTAGTATAACGTTTCCCACTGGCCTTGCGCTACAGCTGCAGGCATCTCTGCACAGGAACTGGAAACCACCCAGCGCAAGAGGAAGGAAGCACAAGCAGTGTCGACAAAGCGTTGGGAGTATTCGGACTACCGCAGAATTTGTTGTGCTTGCTGTGGGATGGGTGGGGCAACGGTGTGATCTGGCCGTGATACAGAGCGAAGCTTGAAGGGAGGGACGGGAATCGTGAGTCCTCCAGGACTTCCAACCACATAGGGTGGGAATCCTCAGTGGGTTGCAGAGCCTCTTCTACTGGCTTATGAGCTCCTACAGGGCTCCCCCCCCCCCATTTTTGCTGCTTTGAACTAGCACAAGTGGAGAGCAAAGGCCCCATTGTTCCTGCATCTCTTCACACACATAAACACAGAGGACCAGCAGGGTGGCAAAGCAAAGTCAGTCTGCAGTAAAGAGGATTCTGTTTAGTACAGGCAGGTTCAAAGACACACACACACACACAAGCTCTTCTTTGTCGCCTTTCCTTTTGCCTAGCCTCCCTCCCCCATGCATGCTTGCAGCACGAAGCCCCGCCCTTTGGTGAAGTCACAACTGTGGTTCTTCCCCTTCCTGTCACATGACTTCCTGGAATGTGCTTGCGCCTCAGGGGATCCCATGCGGCTGTATGGGCATTAAAGGACAGTCCTGGGTGGATAATTAGGTTTTGTGTCATTAAGCATAACTCCATTGCAGCTCTCAGTTAGTGCTTTAATCACGTCTGTAGTTATAACTGACCAATATTTGACCATTCTGTTTAACCTTTGGCCCACTGGGTGCCCATCCTAACCCACTGTGGTTGCATGACATTGGGCATGCCCAGTTACTAAGGCTGAACGCCTGTGTACCCTTTACTAGGGAGAATTCAGGTGGATACATTTGTGAATGAACTTGCATAGGAATTTAGAGATGCCACACCCCCACCCCCACCCAACCCCACACTGCTGGATGCAGCAGTAGGACCAGAAATCAGGGGAAACCGGCATCATTGGGGGTGCTGGACTTTTCAGCACCAGAAAGCCACTCAAATGGTGCTGATTCTTCACCAGTGCAAATGGGAGACTAGGAAAATTAGTAGGCCTGGAATGGCTGGCACAGCAAGGTGCCCAAGTATGAGTGTGTGAAAACCCATGAAGTGTTTGTGTGTGCTTTCCTCCCCCTGGTGCTTCCTGTGCCTTCTGGCTAATTTCTGGACTGCACAGTCAGCAAATTGAGAGGTTAGATAATAGCCTTTAGAGAACTGACTGACAGCTGCCTAGAAGGCAGCCAAAAGGGGCTTTTCTAGCATGACTTTTCTGGTGGTGGAGGACCAGCAGCGGAGTGCAGGCATCCAGGTACCTGCCAGATTATTTGAGGAATAAAAATGAGTTAATCTGCTGCGCAGGGTACATTTATTTATTTAGAAGGTGCAAATGTTCACATTCAAGGTAAATCTGGAGTGTGGATCTGCCACCTAGCTAGAAAAGTCTGAAAACAGTGAACTGATGCAGATATACTCTGTGAGGTTTTTTGTTCATGATAGGTTCCAGAGCAGACCTTAAGCAGTCAGTGTGATTGGCGTTTTACCCTAGGCAGTGACCATGACATAGGTTCCCTTTAGTTCACCTCTGAAATTTTAAAAAACCCAACATTGCCTAGTTGTTCAGAAGTGGGTTGTCTCCTTCACCTCATCTGCTTTAAGTAGTCTGACAGATTGCCTGCTCGTGACTGCATTTAATTGCAAATTAGGATGAGGACAGGCATACATGAGGGGGGTGAGCCCACTGAGGATCCACACTTACCCCTTTCTGCATAGACATATCAACTGAACCAAGCTGGGACAACCACTTCCTGTTTTCAAGAGAAGCCGGCTGTGCAGAGTACTGATTGGCTGGCTGTTTTGACAATCACTCTGCCATTTCCCTTCCTCCTTTCTACCTGGCTGTTGTGCAGATTGGCTGGCCAGTGAAGCTGTCTCCCTCTTATCCTAAGGCAATGTTGTATGTATGTTAGTAGAAAAATGAGGGCAGGAAGAAGCAGCGGTTGCTCTGTAGTTGAAAAAAAACCTATGCTTGTTTCGGGGGGGGTGGAGTTTGGCTTTTGCGCCTATGATCCCCGGGGTGAACCAGAGCACTTGTCCCACGTCGGACTTCCACTTCTGTTTACACAACCATATTGCAAAGATCAGCACAGGCATGAAAGAGGGAGAAATTAAAATACGTTTCAGCGGTCTGCTGCAGACGCATCTCAGAAAGGGTTAAATGAAAAACCTGTGGCTCGGGACAGGAGAAATCCCAAAACTACAAAATGAGCCTGTGACCACTTCCAGGTGGAAGAATTCTGGCTATCAGCCAGGCAGGCCTCACTGTCTGTTAAGGAGGGGCTCGGGGTCTAAATTCAAGGAAATCCTAGTGGAGCCACCACTGGCTTGAACCCAGATGGGTTGGGTTTGAGAGAGGGTTGCGAACTGAATCTCTCTGTAGCCACTCACCTGTAGCTATGGAAAACTGGCTCCAGGCATCAGAAACTTTATGAAAAGCTGAGATGGGGTTCCCTCTCCCTTTTCAGGCTGCTGTGTTTCGACATCTAGGCTGGTAAAACTGTGTTGTGTGGACTCTCTCTCTCTCTCTTTCAGTGACCTCTGCAGATCTTGCTTGTTAAAAGTATCCTAATTGTCTGCTGACTGGCATGTGTATATTCGCAGGGGAAGATGGAAAATCGGCTCACCGACGGCTGGAAGAATCCCTCGATAGCTTGCCACGGATCTTTGCCCCAGGCAGCATGGCCAGCACTGCGTTCTGAAGGGGGTGCTGCACTTGACTACCTGTGGATCTGTTTGGGACCCAGAACCTTGCATGCCAGAACATCGATCATGTCCCACAGGCTCGGGGCCAAGCTGGCGTGCCACCAGCTGGGCGGTTCCTTGCCCCTCCATCACGCCTACACAGCAGTATTAGCACCACCCCGCATGCTGCCTTATGTGGAGGATGCCTTGTGGGTAGCCCCCCCCCTCCACTGGCTGCTGTACTCACAGAGTTGACTTGAGCCCAGGGTAGTTGAAGTGGTCCCTTGTGGCTTGGCTTTTCTATAGGGAGCCTGCCGGGTTGGGAGGGACTGAGAATTTGGGTGCTGTGTTGTTAGCTTGGGGGTCCTAGCACCCTTTTCCTGAACACGGGCGTTGACGGCTGTGCCAGAACGTTCTTGGTCACTGAAGCTGGTCTGCAGCTCAAGAGAAGCTATTTTGTGTGTGTGTGTGTGTGTTAGTTCTGCCATCTCCTTTTGAGCACATCCTGCATCCACTCTGACAGTGATTACTCCAGGAACCCGGTGAGGGGGGCCTTTTCCCGCTACCAGTGGCTTGTCCCCCTGAACAGCAAGTTCCTGTGTTCTGATAGGGGAGAGCGCTAAAATTATGGGGGGAGGGCTAAAATTATGAGAGGAGAGGAAAGGGAAAGGTTGTTTTTAATGAACCGTGCCATGGAAAACAAGACAACGTGGATGGGCCAACTCTGCCTCCTTTGGGGCTTTTTTATTATTTTTATTTACAATTTGGGGGTGTGTGCAAACAAATGAAAGCAAAAGTCCCTTTTCTATTAAAAGAAACATCTATAAATGCGTGCAATGTCAAAACTTTAAAGATGTTTTCGTTTCCACACCTGTAGAACAGGAAGAGAGGATGAGCAGAAGGAAAGGAGAACTCCAGGCAGCCATGGATGCCACGTCACCCTGTCTTTCCTACAGTATTCTGTGGGTGTCTCACGAAAACGTCATCATGTCACCAGTGAGGCAAAAAGATTCGCTAAGGATTAACATTCACAGAATAGCCTGGAAGCACCTTACACTTTAGAGCGGAGCCAATACCTGGCTGCCATAAACACACGGAGCCACTAAGAAGGAATATCATCATTTTGACCAGGAATAGATTAAAGACTGGCAAAATATCCCTGTAAAACCTAGGTGTCTGCCATGTCCTGGTGTGTGCCATCTGTGAGCAGCCTCCCTCCTCTGAAACTGGCATGGACATACCCGATTGCCAGGTCTGGTTCAATGCTCACGTGGCAACAAATTGGCTGAGCACAGCAGTGTGCGAGGAGCTGATGGGCGTAGTTTGTTCTTGTCATTGCTTTTATAAGCCCACATTACTGCTCCTTGGGTCCACGGTTGCTGCAGAGATGCAGCCTCATGAGTTTGCATTGGACCTGTTGGGGTGGCATGAGAGGATGTGTGTGTTGGGTTCAGTGTGGGCATCCAGCTTGTCTTGGACCTGGCAAAATGCCTTGACTGCCTTTTGATCAAGTAAGTGGCACTACTACCAGTGTTCCCTCTAAGCTGAGTTAGTGTGGGCTAGCTCACAGTTTTTTAGCCTCCGGCTCACACATTTGTCTTAGCTCAGGAACGAGGGCTCCAGAGCAAACTAATTTATGCAGTAGCCCAATCGCTTGCACACAACTTTAATGCCAGTCGCTCACAAAGTAGAATATTTGCTCATTGACTACTCTACCCCTGTCTTTGGTCCTCCAGATCTGGAGCATCCTGAACTCTAGCCTCCATGGTCCTCTGAAACAAATTTTAAATATGTACTGAGAGCTAGATTAGGTAAAGGTTTCCCTTGCTCGAAAGCCAGTCGAATCCAACTCTAGGGATGCGGTGCTCATCTCCGTTTCCAAGCCGAAGAGCCAGCGCTGACGTTTCCGTGGTCATGTGGCCAGCATGACTAGATGTTGAGGCGCATGGAACGCTGTTACCTTCCCACCGAAGTGGTACCTATTTACCTACTTGCAATTTCTTGCTTTCGAACTGCTAGGTTGGCAGGAGCTGGGACCAGAGACAGGAGCTCATCTGTCACGCGGCACTCGGGTCTCGAACTGCTGAACTACCGACCTTCCGGTCTGCAGTTCAGCATCTTAACCACTTGAGCCACTGCACCGCGCCTCAGAGACCAACAAGATGTTCAGCTTTCAAGAGTCAAAATTGCCTTCGTCACTCTCGAAAACTTATAACCTTGTTGGTCCTTAAGTTGCTACTGGTCTCAGATCTAGCTCTTCTACAGAAGACAAACATGGCTATGCTCTGAAAACAGTCTTTAAGATGTATTGATACACTGAGACCTAGCTGAGTTCAACAGTACCTTGATGGCATAACAAGCTATTTATTGAGGGAAACTAGCAATGATAGACAGGTGTGAGAGAAGAGAAAAACCAGCAGTGCTGCATAGAAAACAAGCAGAATGAAATTTCTTAAACGGGTCTGTCCTATCACAGTGAAAACTGGCTTGGAACCACCAGGTTAAAAATTAGTCCACCACTGCTCTTGTGAAGGATCCAGCTATCTTTCCCTGCATTAGTCTGGCAGAATTCCTTGCATGCACATTCTTCAGTGTAATTTCTGTGTGACTGATTTGCTAAAGCGTTTAGAGAACTCCTAGCCCACCTCTGAGATAATTAGATTTGAATTAGACATAGTTCTCACTGAGCTCTATCTAGGTTGTGCCGCTCCAGAATCCAGGTAGGGTTTTGCATGGCTGAATACTCCATAACCAAATTATTTCCTGCACGTAGAAACCCAGTGTGTTGGGTCAAAAGCTATGCTTGAACTACACTTGGTACGCCAAACAATATTCTGCCTATAATTTGATCACTGTCCAATGCCCCGTGAAGCCAAAGATACCACTGTGTAGGCAGCAGCGTATCTTTTAAACTTCAGTTTAGAGTCATTGATTAATGGCAGCCATCAAGGGCAAACCCAGCTCTGCATTCTCAGGTTTCTCCTGGCCACTCACTCTAACAGCTGACTCTTCCAAACAGGAAAACAAGCAGACTTTGGTGGCAAAAGGCCACCTGGGTCAAAAGTTTTTTAATGTTAACCGTGTTGTTTCAACTGATTTAGCATAACATTGTAAACATCAAACCTGTTTGAATGTAGGTATCTTTTTACTGTTCTTATACAGTTAATTCTTTAAAAATAATATCAGGGCTATTTTTGGGCAGGAACGCACAGGAACGGAGTTCTGGCTGCCTCCTGAGTTGGCCACACCCAGCAGGAACTAATTAGCATAATAGGCCCCACCCAACAGCAGAAACTCATTAGGATTGGCTACAGTAGGCATGTGTGGCCTAACATGCAAAGGAGTCCCTGCTACAAAAAAAGGCCCTGGGTTTTGATAACAAACAAGGTAAACAGAATAAGAAGCAAAAGATGGGTGTGGCTAGATGACCATACTTCTGGCAACACGGGGCTGCAGCCTAATATGCTAATGAGCTGTGGTGTCAGGGTGTGGCCTGATATGCTAATGAGTTTCAGCTATTGGGTGTGGCCTATTATGCTAATTAGTTCCTGCTGGGCTTTTTCTACAAAAAAAAGCCCTGAAAAGAATTGTTCAAAGCTTTGAAGCAAATGCCTAGCCCTACCCAGAACCCTCCTCCCTGACAATTAGTTTGACATCATTTGGGAGCCAGTACACTCTAATGCCAACCTAGCAGTTCGAAAGCAAGAAATTGTATGTAGATAAATAGGTACCGCTTCGGTGGGAAGGTAACAGCATTCCGTGTGCCTCGGCGTTTAGTCATGCCGGCCACATGACCACAGAAAAGTCTTCAGACCGCGCTGGCTCTTTGGCTTGGAAACGGAGATGAGCACCGCCCCCCCTATAGTCGGATTCGACTGGCTTTCAAGCAACGGAAACCTTTAAACCTTTACCTTACAGTCTGGTGATGAGAGTGTGAGACCTGGGTTCAAATTATCCATAAGCACGTAAGAGTCATGTTGGATCAGAGACCAATGCTCCCTCTAAGCTGTGGTGTCTTGTGAGCAAAAATTCTACTTTGTGAGCTTACTGGCATTAAAGCTGTGAGCGAGCGATTTGGCTACTGCATAAATTAGTTTGCTCTGGAGCCATCCTTCCTGAGCTAAGACAAAAATGTGTGAGCCCGAGGCTAAAAAACTGCTGAGCTAGCTCACACTAACTCGGCTTAGAGGGGACACTGGATCAGACCAAAGGCCCATCCAGTCCAGCATTCTGTTCACACGTTGGGCAACCAGCTACCTCTAGGAAGCCCACAAGCAGGGAGACAGCAACAGCATTATCCTACCTGTGCTCTCTCCAGCAACTGATTTAAAGAGGTGTACGGCCTCTGTTGCAAGTAGATAAATAGGTACCACTTCAGTGGGAAGGTAACAGCGTTCCATGCACTTTGGTGTTTAGTCATGCCGGCCACATGACCACAGAAACGTCTTCAGACAGCGCTGGCTCTTCGGCTTTGAAACAGAGATGAGCACCGCAACCCTAGATTCGGATTCGACTGGCTTTCGAGCAAGGGAACCTTTACCTTTACTGCCCCTGGTACTGGAGAGAATAGATGTCCATTATGACTAGTAGCCACTGATAGCCCAGTCAAACATTAATTTGTCCACTCTCCTGGAAGGTAGCCATGACCACACCCTTTGGCAGAGAGTTCTACAAATCAGCTCTTCACTGTGTGAAGATATACTTCCTTGTGTCTATCCTGAATATCCCACCCTTCAGCTTCAGGAGATGTCCCCGGGTTCTAGTATCATGGGAGAGGGGGAAGAGTTTCTCTCTGTCCACTCTCTCCATGCCATACATAATTTTTATAAACCTCTATCACGTCTCCCCTTATTCACCTTTTTTCTAGGCTAAACAGCCCTAAGCGTTTTAACTGATCCTCATAGGGCACCTGCTCTAGTCTCGATCTGATCATCTTTGGTTGCTCTTTTCTGCACCCTTTCAAACTCTACAATATCCTTTTTCAGATGAGATGACCAAAGTGTACACAATATTTCAAGTGTGGTCTCACCACAGATTTGTATAAGGCCACTTACGGTAGCAGCAGTTTTGCTCTCTATTCCTGTTTTAGTTACGGCCGGCACAGAGTTTGCCTTTTTCACAAGAGCTGCACATTTTCATCGAGCTATCCACTACCACCCCAAGGTCCCTTTGGTTGGTGGCTGCCAGCTCAGATCCCATCTGTGTATATATGAAGCTGGGATTATTTGCTCCACTATGCATCATTTTATACTTGCCCACACGGAATCTCATTTGCCATTTTAATGCCCATTCCCTTAGTTTGAAGAGATCGTTTCAGAGCTCTTCGCAATCCACTTTTGTCTTCCCACCGAAATAATTTGGTCTCATCTGCAAACTGAGCCACCTCACTACTCTCTCTGAACTCCAGGTCATTTATGAATAAGTTGAAAAGCACCGGTCCCGATCAGTGTTCCCTCTAAGCTGAGTTAGTGTGAGCTAGCTCACAGTTTCTTAGCCTCCAGCTCACAGATTTTTGTCTTAGCTCGGGAAGGATGGCTCCAGAGCCAACTAATTTATGCAGTGGCCAAATCGCTCGCTCACCACTTGGATGCCGGTAGCTCACAAAGTGGAATTTTGGCTCACAAGGTCCCACAGCTTAGAGGGAGCATTGGTCCCGATACAGATTCCTCACATCCGTCTGTTGTTTGCAAGCGCTGACCATTTATTCCTACTTTCTGCTTTCTGTTTTTTAGCCAACTTCCAATCCATAAGAGGACGTGTCCTCTTATCCCATGACTCTGAGTTTGCTCAGGAGTCTTTGGTGAAGCACTTTG